CCTGGTTCTGGAGGGGGGGTGTCCCACTCCCCCCCACCCCCCCACCCCCAGATCAGAAAGGCTTCAAGGGAAGCGGTGGGGGGAGGAAGGGGGCTGTTAAGGAACCCAGCCCCCCTGTGCGGGCGAATGCCTTCTATTGTCTGTCTGGCATGCTGATAGTTTGGATCAAATACCCCCAACCTTCTCCTATCCCTCCCTTGTCCCCCCCTCCTCTTCCTCCTCCTCCTCCTCCTCCTCCCCCTCCCCGCCTCCCCCCCCCTTCCTCTCCTTCATGTCAGCTACAACCCAGCTCTGTGAATGGAAGGCACAAGGCTGACGAGGGAGGCAGCGCACGCCTGGCTGGCCGGCTGCCAGGGGCTGGAAGTCGGCTTGTGCGCCTGTGTGAAGCGCACAGGGGTGCACACACACACACACACACACACACACAAGCGTGTGCAAGTAGAAGGGCCTTGGCCGGCTGCGTCAGGGAGGGGAAGAACGGAGGGGGGGGCTGGAAATCCACCCCCCCATCCACCCGCCTCCCTTTATTTTCTGGAGAGGGGTCAGAATGTGGAGGCTCCACTACATTTCGTCCCAGGCTGGGTTTTTTTTCCCCTCTCCCACTTTTCATGGGGGGGGGGAGAAACAAGGCCCACCCCACATGTACACCCACTTCTTCCCCCCTCCCCCTTCTTTGCCCATGGCTGGGGAATCGAAAAGGCCTTGATTGAATGGCAGGATTCTTGGGCATCTTGGTTTTTGATTTTTGATTTTTGTTTTGTTTTTGTTTGAATGCCCCACACGTGTAAAATGAGGTAAAAACGAAAGGAAAAGACCCACTTTCAGAACAGGGTCGATTTTGGCTCTGCGTCACTTGAAATCCTGTATGGGAAACCAGACGGGATCCCTCTTAAGCTTCTAGTCCACAGTTTCTCAACCTCTGCAACTTTTAACATGTGTGGACTCCAACTCCTGTAAATCTTATCGGGCGTCGCTCAAAGAAGTAAGCCCAACCTAGAACTAAGGAGAAACTTCCTGACAGTTAGAACAATTAACCAGTGGAACCGCCTGCCTCCAGAAGCGGTGAATGCTCCAACACTGGAAGTCTTTAAGAAGAGACTGGAATGTCTGAAATGGTCTAGGGTTTCCTACCTGAGCAGGGGGTTGGACTAGATGACCTCCAAGGTCCCTTCCAACTTTATTATTATTATTATTATTATTATTATTATTATTATTATTATTATTATTATTATTATTATTATTATTATTATTATTATTATTTATCGGCCTTGCCACCATCCCTAGCCTGTTTTTCCTTCGTGTAAATTTGAGCAGTAAATTTGATTTTAAAAAAAAATCCAGCGGGTCTTTCTAGGAACATCTCTCTATAGCAGGGCTCTTCAAACTTGGCCCTCTGATGACTTGTGGACTTCAACTCCCAGAATTCCTCAGGCAGTGTGCCCACTGGCTGAGGAATTCTGGGAGTTGAAGTCCACAAGTCATCAAAGGGCCAAGTTTGATGACCCCCTCTGAGCCCGAAATTTCTGTTGCTAAGCGAGATGCATGTTGAGTGGATTTTGCCCCCGTTTGACGACCTTCCTCGCCAGCGTTGTTAAGTGAATCACTGCAGGCGATAAGTTGGCCACCCGGTTGTTAAGTGAGTCTGGCTTCCCCATTGACTTTGTTTCTCAGAAGATCGCCAAAGGGGGGGGATCCCCAGGACCTTGCGCCCGTCGTAAATATGAGTCAGTTGCCAAGCGTCTGAATTTGGGCCACAGGCATGCCGCAACGGTCGTTAAGCGTGGAAAACGGTCTCTGGTCACTTTTTTTCAGGGCCGTCGTAAGTCGGAACTGTCACTAAACCAACCGTCATAAGTCGAGGGCTAAGTGTACTTAGTTTCTCTCGGCTCTTCGGAATTGTGACAGGCTCTCTTTTGCAACAATTGCCAGTCCCTTTTCTGCTTCTGGAGGTGGGCCTGGGAATCACCTATTCTCTCTCTCTCTCACACATACACACACACACACAAACACATACACACACACAAATGGGTCCTCAAACAGCTCAGTAGAAGCAACCGGGCCACTTAACTTCACCTCCTTTGGGTTTCAAATGCCTGGAAAACTCTTCGTGCCGTTCCTGTTTCCTCTGCCGGAAAATCTTACCAGCCCATAATAATTTAGGGCCCTTGGAAGAATCTGCCTTGGATCCTCCTTGATCCCTTTTCCTTGTGAGGGGGTAGATTCCCCCCCCATCCCTGCTGCGCCCTTTGAAACCTTCCCTTTAAAATCCCCTAAAAAACCTCTTTCCCCCTTCTGAAGACCCAAAAGGCAGGCGAGGGGGGGGGGGGGAGGAAGGCAGCCCCCTTGCACTCAACAAGTTGTAAGCCTAGCTCTAGTTGGTCTGGGGGGGGGGAAGGGGGTGTCCCTTCTCTGTCTCTGCCAGCTTTTGAAGAATCCCACCAGCCTGATCCAAAATCCACCACTTTTTTTCCCCTTGTCTCAAAGGGATGGTGGGGGGATCACGGGCCCCCTCCTGGAAAGCATTTGGGGAGGGGGGGTGTCTTTGGCTGCAGGGCAGGCAGCTTCTCCTTGCCTTCCCCCTCCCCACCTTTGCTCCCCAGCACGCGCGGACACACACACACACACACACACAGAGCCTTAAGAAGTCGGGCAAGCCCGGGCAAGGGTTGCGACTGTGGGGAAAGGTCGGTTCAGAAGGACAAACCGGGGCTCTGGACTGGATCCAGTGGGCTGATTGATTTAATCTGCTGGCATTTCCCTCCTCCTCCTCGCTCTCCCTCTCTGTGTGTGTGTGTGTGTGTGTGTGTAGCCCCCTGCCCGCCCTTCCTAACCTGCTGGCTGTCAGTTCCCACTTTCCTTTTTAGGAGATTGTCCTTTTTATAGCATTGTATGGAAACGGCTGTGCGTCTTGGGAGACAGCCATTTTGTGCGTTGTGTCTTGAAATGCATCTTTTTTTTTTTTTTAACCCGGCACGCGGCTTTTTCCGCTTTTAGCACCACGCCGAGAAGTTGGGAATAGAGAGAGAGGGGGAGAGAGAGAGAGAGAGAGAGATCCAGGCGGGCAGGCCCCCCCCCTCAAAAAAACCCTAAAGGGACATTCTGGGCTGGGTGGAAAAATATCTGATAATGAAGCGTATTTTGGCAATCCCGTTTTTCTCCGAAGGCCCTTGGGAATTTGGAGACGATCCGAATATCTGCTAAAAGGGCAGATCCCGTGGCAAGGAGTGAGCTGGAGAGAGGGATAGAGGTGGTCCTCCCCTTAGGCACCCAAAATTTCCGTTCTTAAGTGAGACGGTCCTTAAGTGAATTTTGCCCCCGTTTTACGACTTTGCTGGCCACGTTGTTAAGGGAGTCACTGCGGGGGTTAAGCTAGTCACACAGTTCCTAAGTGAATCCAGGTTTCCCCCCCCCCTTGACTTTGCTAGTCAGAACGTCGCAAACGGGGGTCCCCTGGCTCCAGGACACGTAACCGTCATAACTATGAGTCAGTTGCCAAGTGTCCGAATTTTGATCGTGGCAACGGCCGTAGGTGTAAAAAACGGTCCTCTTTTTTCCGTCCTTCGGAGTGCAGTGCTTTCTCGCTGAAAAATCCCTGTTGGGCTTTTTTTGTCGCCTACATTTGTAGTTGTCCCTGGAGATATTGCCGCCAAAGCCTCCTCAGGATGAATCCGGGGACAGGCAGAGAGGGATCTGAGTGGATCCCTGAGGATTTTTCCACCCAGGCCGTTCTCACTCCTTCGCATGGTTCTTCGAAAAGGACTTTCAAAATCGAGTTGGTGCAAAAGGGGAAGGGAAAAAAGGTGCTTTTTAAGGAATATTGTTATTATTCCTGTAAATCAGGGGTGTCCAGCTTTGGCAACTTTAAGCCTTATGGACTTCAACTCCCAGAATTCCCCAGCCAGTCGGGGGGGATAACGGTCGTAAATGCGAGGTCCAGTCGTAAGTGTGAGAACCGGACTTTTTTCAGCTCCGTCATAACTTTGAACGGTCACCAAGCAAATAAATTGTAAGTTGAGGATTGCTGCAGGAGCTGTTCTGCAGCTCATATTGTCCCCATCTATCATATACTTTTAACTCCAGAAGAATAAACCGGAATCTTTTAATGAGACACTGAGACGTCATCAGCTTTCTCCTTAGTCAGCTAAATTCTTATCGTGGCTAATTAAATTCTTGACCGTGGTTTCTCCATCTTCCTTTCTTGGAGTTTAAGAAGGGACCTTATTTGCAGGTTGAAAAGCTAAATTTCCAGCGCCGCCATCTAATAAGTTTTGGGTGGTGGGTTTTAAAGAAATTCTACTTAACCAAACTGGGCTCCCAGCTGCTTTTTTGGGGGAGGGAGGTTAGATTTGATGACTGGCAATAACCTAGTTCTGTGTCGATAACCAGGTTTGTTTAGCTGCTGGATGGAATCAACGACGTTAGGAAGTTTTGATTCGTAAGGTTGAATTTCGACTTGCAGATTTGGGAGAGAAAAGGTGATCTAGTTGTTTTTCTAGCCCTGGAATTTTTTGTTTGTTTGTTTGTTTGTTATTGTCGTTGTTTTAAAAGTCAGGAATGAAAACGGAAGGTGCTGTTTGGGTTGCGTCAGAAACGGCCATTTATTTTAAGCTGCTTCTTTTTTTAAAAAAAATTAGTAGTAAAAATAATATCTACATTGAAATTAACTGTTCATAATAATAATAATAATAGCAATAAGTTGGAAGGGACCTTGGAGGTCATCTAGTCCAACCCCCTGCTCAGGCAGGAGACCCTATACAATTTCAGACAAATGGCTGTCCAGTTTCTTCTTAAAAACTTCCAGTGTTGGAGCATTCAGAGCTTCTGGAGGCAGGTAGTTCCACTGGTTAATTGTTCTCACTGTCAGGAAGTTTCTCCTCAGTTCTAGGTTGCTTCTCTCCTTGATTAGTTCTTGAGATGTTTGATTACCCGACATGGTCACCTCATTAGATGGTGGTTTCTCACTCTTGGCCTTCTTCCACCCCACCCCACCCCCCAGCAGGATGGACCGCATGACCGAGGATGCTCTGCGCCTCAACCGCTTGAAGCGGACCCTGGACCAAGCCGAAGAACGGGACGATGTCTTGGCCAAGAGGCTGAAGATGGAAGGCCACGAGGCCATGGAGCGGCTCAAGATGTTGGCCTTGCTCAAGAGGAAAGACCTGGCGGGCATCGAGGTGCCCCACGAGCTGCCGGTCAAGCAGGACGGACTGAAAGTCTACGAGGAGAAGCTGAACGGGAACTTGAGACCCCATCCCGACGGGCGGTCTTCCGGGAGATCCGGCAAGGAGAACATCAACGATGAGCCGGTGGACATGAGTGCGAGGAGAAGGTAGGGATCCTCCCGCTTCTGTTTCTTCCACACGGCTGGTCTGGAGGGGGGGGGTGCCTGTTAATTTTGACGATGGACGTTGAGTATCCAAAGTTCACGAGAAGGTCAGGTTTGGGCCACCCGTTGCGTTCTCCTTCATTTTTTATTTTGATAGGTGAAAAGGGTCTTGAGAATTGCGAGGTTGGAAATCAGGAATCCATGGCTGGTGTGGGATTCCAGTTTAAGAAGGACTCATCTCCCAGAATGCCTCAGGATCCTGCCCTGAACCAGGATTCAGGACAAGTCAACAAACATTGCCAGCTTGGCCAATGCATAGCTTTGAAGTTTAGGAAGTCTGATTCTCAACTGAGCAACTTTAAGATACGTGGACTTCAACTCCCAGAATTCAACAGCCAGCCATGCTGGCTGTTGAATTCTGGGAGTTGAAGTCCACGTATCTCAAAGTTGCCAAGATTGGGAAACACTGATTTAAAGAGGGGGGGGAATCCCATTTATTAGGTCTTAGCAGTATTAACACGTGGGTGTAAAACTCGGGAACAGAAACCTCATTGGTTGCCTATAGTTTTAATTCTCTTAAACCAGGGTTAGCAAGCATTGTGGTATCATAAAAGTCCCTCATTCCCCGACTTCCCCCTCACACACACACACACACACACACACATTTCTTAATCACCAGCATGAGTGTCTCCCACAGAATGATGGAACGCATGAAACTGCCTCAGATTAGGCCCTTTCCTGACCTCCCTTAATAGAATTATGTTAATGTGTTAAAATTAATTAAATTGGCTTTATTAAGCGAGGCAAGTAGAAGCGAAGAGGAGCTGAAACGCCTCCCCCCTCGTTAAAAGGGGGGGGAAAGAAACAAATGGATTTTTTTTTGATCCACGTTTCCTGCAGATTTTCCTCTGATTCCAGGAAACACCACGAAGAATAGCCCAAAATTTCTCCCCCCCCTGAGATGAGTTTTCTGTGGTTTATTTTATGCCATAATATCGCGTCTTAGTCCTCTCTTCTGAAAGCATCTATTCCCGAGCTTGTTGTTGTTGTTGTTGTTGTTGTTGTTAAGATTCCAGGTCTTCCAGCTTTTAATCTTCTCCCAAACGTTGATCCAGCAGAGATGAGGAGGAGGAGGAGGAGGAGGGTCAGGGGTCCCTAACACGTCCTGCTTTCGGCTTTGGGTGCCTAGAGACCCCGTGCTATGAGACCACGATGCAGGGGGTGGCCCGGGCGTCAATCAGACCAAGGTTTAGCAGCGTCTCGGGCGTCAGCTGCGAATTCCTGACTCACTCGTGCGTTCGGGTGGCGAAGGGACAAGATGTAGGCGGGCGAGGAGCGTCTCCAAGGCAGAAGCTGGTGACAATCCAGGCTCGTCTGCTCGCCATCTGCCCCCACCGCCTCTGCTGATTGGTCACCCTCAATTTTCCCTTGACCTTGAACAGGAGGGGCTTTCAGCTTCAGCCTAGGAGCTGCTGTCCAATAAGAAGAGAGGGTGAGGAGGGGGCACAGAGTTGAGAGGACGGGGTTGAGCTTTATGGGATCAAGCCTGGCCCAAACGGGGGGTCAAGTTGGACTCCGCGAAGGGGAGACGTCTCTAGCGTTTCCACCTCGCATTCTCCGCCCTCCCAGGTAGTAAGAAGTAAAGGGAATTTGACTCTGCTAGTCGTCGTCAACTGTAGGGATGGTGCGCATCGCCGTTTCGTGGCTGTCAAGCCGTTGTTGTCCAAAGACGTTGCCGCGGTCGTGACATCGCAGAGCTCTGTTACCTTCCCGCCTAAGTGGTACCTATTGATCTACTCACACTTGCCTGCTTTCGAACTGCTAGGTTGGCAGGAGCTGAGGGGGAGGACAAGAGCTCACCCCGTCGCATGGCGCTCGGATTTTGAACCTGGGCTGCCGGCTTTCCAACCAGTAAGCCTGGTATCTTAACTGCCGAGCTGCCGCGCCACCTTTCCCAGGTAGAGCAGACAGGAAATGATCTAATTCTACTTCATGGTAGGGCTACATCAACAGACTCTTGCAAGGCTTGAAAGGACCATTCTCTCACTTTCTCTTTTACAGCTCCAGAAACTTGGGAGGGTCCCTTCTGTGTCTTTTTTCTCCTCCCCTTATGCCGCTCTGGGCTATGCCACCTCTTATCTGATCGTTTCTAGCCCGCCTTTCTTTGCCCCCGTCTCTCAAGGTCTTTCTCACATGTCAGTGAAGGACAGAAGATCCTGGTTATGGAGAAGAAGCTAAGATCTCTAGGATCAACCAAGCCTCCTGGACAACTCGAATTCCTTCCGGGGGAGATCTTTCCACCCGCGACATTCGATATTGCCACCTCTTCCTCCCAACAGGGCGAGCCATTGATTGACCATCCCTGACGATCGTCTCATTGCCCTCTAGGGAACAGAACCCTCCAAGGTTGAGGGAGCTGTGAGAACAGGGCCCTTTCCACCCCTCTCGACTCCAGTCTTCGTGGTTTGGGGGGTCCCTTGGCCCACAAAACCCCCTGGGTGGCTTGTGGTCCTCCCCTCTGTGTGATGTCACAATGCGACCAGCGAGCGCTTGGTTACCACCGGGTTGCATCTTGCGTCTCCAGGCGACGAGAAGGGGCGGCCGCCTCTGGTGTCCATTGATTCCCTTCCAGGCCTCAATTTGGCCTGGTGTGTGCAGAGCCTTCCTCTGGAGCAGAGCAGCTGGCCCAAAGGAGCATGGAACGCAGGTATCTGCCGCCCGTCAAGGCTTCTCTCGTGGGCCTTTGGTCCAGAATCCTCCCCTCACCCCTCCGTCCTTTCGCAGGGATTTATTTTCCTCCTCATTCTTGCTCACTGTCGCGTCAGAACAGAATAGCAGAGTCGGAAGGGACCTTGGAGGTCTTCTAGTCCAACCCCTTGCTCGAGCAGGAGACCCTATGCCATCTCGCCCAGTCTCTCCTTGAAAGCCTCCAGTGATGGAGCGCCCACAACTTCTGGTGGCAAGCGGTTCCACCGGTTAATTGTTCTAACTGTCAGGAAGTTTCTCCTTAGTTCCAGGTTGCTTCTCTCCTTGGTTAGTTTCCATCCGTTGTTCCTTGTCCTGCCTTCTGCTGCTTTGGAGACTAGGGTGACCCCCCACCCTCTTCTTTGGGGCAGCCCCTCAAATACTGAAAGGCTGCTCTCATGTGCCCCCCCCCCAGTCCTTCTTTTCGTTAAACTGGCACTCAGCCCTGCTGCCCTCTTGATCCTTTTTTGCGACGTCCACGGGGAGGCCAGAGTAACGGCCGCGGGGCTGACTTTCACGAATGCCGCGATTTGCTTAAGAAGTGCGGCTAGAACAGTCGTGAAATGGGGCAAAACCCGCCCGACAGAACGTCTCGCTTAGCCGGAGAAAATTTGGGTTCTGCTGTCGTCGTAAGTCGAGGACTGCCTGCACAGAGAGGAACTTTCATTGGGAAACTCTTGCTTGAACTTCAAAGGATCCAGGACTTGGCTCGGGCGGACCGAGGGCTCCACCGCCTAAGTCCCAGCCTGGGGGGGGGGAAGGGGGTTGATTTTGCCACCCCTCTCACACACACGCACGCACACGCACACCCCCGGAGGAAAAAGGACAACGTGCCTTTGGTGGCTGGTGGGCTGCTGGATGGGTGGGCAGGAGTTCCGCTCCAGGCTGCTTTCGTCCACGTGGGCTTATGTAATTGAGCATCCCAGCCAGGATCAGAGCAGAGATGAGGCAGAAAATAGGAAAAGCTATTAAAAACTGAGAAGACTTGGTTTTGTTTATTCTGAAGGCAGCAGCTTTCTGCTCGGCTCGTGTACAGCCGTTGAACAATACAGGTGAAAAAGGCCACCCTAGGCTGGTGGGGTGGGGTGGGGTGGGGGGCTTTAAACGGGGCCAGACCTCGGAAAACGTATAACTTCATAGCACGGAGGATGTTCCCTAGTTTGGGTCTGCCAGGGAACCACCCAGCTCAGAGAGCCCCAAGGAGCCCCACGGGATCAAGTGATGGTCTCTGGGACGCCTTGAGGAAAGCTCTTGTGTTGAGAAAGATCTCACTCTGGCAGAAAGTGAGAGAGAGAGAGCGGGGGGCGGGGAGGAAATGGATGGATAGAATAGAGAAGGAAGGAAGGAAGACAGGAAGGAAGGAAGGAAGGAAGGAAGACAGGAAGGAAGACAGGAAGGAAGGAAGGAAGGAAGGAAGGAAGGAAGGAAGGAAGGGATTAGAGAGAGAATAGAGAGGATGGCCAGATGGCTGGATGGATTGGGAGATAGATAAATAGAGAGATGATGGATGAATGGATGGATGGATGGTTGGATAGATAAATAGATGATGGACGGATGGATGCTTGGATGGCAAGACAGAACTAGAGATATTACGGAGAGATGATACACATATATAGAGAGGATTGATGGATGGAGAGATAGATAAATAGAGAGGAGAGATGATACAGATGAATAGAGAGGAGGGAGGGAGAGATAGATGATAAATAATACAGATGAGTGTGTAAGGGGAGGGAGGGAGGGAGGGAGGGAAGGAAGGAAGGAAGGAAGGAAGGAAGGACAGCATGAACTGAATGGAAGCTTGGTTACAGTGGTGATGGGAGCGCTGAAGGACCAGGTTGGGGACACATTTTATACAGAAAATCTATGTGGTCACTTGATGTCACACAACTCATCCTTTACCTGCTCCGATTCCTTTGTGGGTCCAGCTGTGTAAGGGACGACTGACTCCCTTCCGGTAGCTTCTTGTCTCCCGGTCCAACCCCCCCCCCCACCCCTTCACTCACTCTGGCTTTTCTTTCTCAACTGCCTCCTCTCCCCTTCCCTTCCCTTCCCCCTTTCTGCAATCAGCAGCGATCAAGACAGGGGACGGCTCACCCCCTCTCCGGATGTCATTGTCCTCTCTGACAACGAGGCCTCCAGCCCGCGCTCCAGTTCCCGCATGGAAGAGCGGCTGAAGGCAGCCAATCTGGAAATGTTCAAGGTACGTCCAGGGAGAGGAAAAACGTGCAAGGAGCACATTCGCAAGAGCGCACGGAGGGTCTTGCGGCTTGCCTAAGACCCTTCCCTGCAGGAAAGTTGCCCTCCATCCTCACCTCTTGGCCTCCTTTCCACAGGGGAAAGGGGTCGAGGAGAGGCAGCAGCTCATCAAACAGCTCCGGGACGAGTTGCGATTAGAGGAGGCCCGTCTGGTGCTGCTGAAGAAACTACGGCAAAGCCAGCTGCAGAAGGAGAACGTGGTCCAGAAGGTGAGGCGGCGAGCGCCGGTCAACCTGGCCTTCCCTCCCGCCAACACCTCAGTTGGCCAGGCCTGGCCAGCCTGTTTTATGAACCCGGAACAGGGTCCGGAGAAGGTCCTCTCTCCCAGCGCAAAACTCTTAGCGTTCGGTTTAGCCCAGGGGGGGTCTCCAAGCTTGACGACTTTAAGGCTCGGTGGACTTCAGCTCCCAGAATTCCCCAGCCAGCTGTGCAGTTAAACAAGGTTGCACGTTTTTCTAATAATCCTCCGTCTCTTTCTTTCCACCCCCGGCCAGACTCCGGTTGTCCAGAACGCAGCGTCTATAGTCCAGCCATCTCCTGCCCACGTCGGACAGCAGGCTCTGTCCAAACTCCCCTCCCGACCTGGGGTTCAAGGGGTTGAGCCCCAAAACCTCCGAACATTACAGGTAAGAGACCTCCAGACTAGAACTGTTAATTCTAGTCCCGCCTTAGGCAAGAAAGGCAGACGGCTAACTAAGCAGGGCCCAGCCTGGGCAGGCTTGGGATGGGCAACTCCTGGCATCGCTGAGTTGGGAGGGGGAAGTTGAAAAACTAAGCCAGCAATAGCTCTCCGGCTCTTGAAAGACTTCACCTTTCTCTTGCTCCTTCTTGGGACAGGGTCACAGTGTCATCCGATCGGCCACCAACACCGCCCTTCCCCACATGCTTATATCCCAGCGTGTCATTGCCCCCAACCCCACGCAGCTTCAAGGACAGCGCATCCCTCCCAAACCAGGCCTGATCCGCAGCACCACGCCCAACATGAGCCCTGCTATCAATTACCAGCCGGTGAGTGACGAGAAGTCTTCCCGTTTGGAGAGAAAGGGATGGAAACACAAAGGAGAATAGAGAAAAGGATGGAAGCACAAAGGAGAAGAGGGAAAGGGATGGAAGCACAAAGGAGAAGAGAGAAAGGGATGGAAGCACAAAGGAGAAGAGAGAAAGGAATGGGAACACAAAGGAAAAGAGAAAGGGATGGGAACACAAAGGAGAAGAGGGAAAAGGATGAGAACACAAAGGAGAAGAGAGAAAGGGATGGAAACACAAAGGAGAAGAGAGAAAGGGATGGGAACACAAAGAAGAGGGAAAGGGATGGGAACACAAAGGAGAAGAGGGAAAGGGATGGAAACAAAGGAGAAGAGAGAAAGGGATGGAAACACAAAGAATAGAGAAAGGGATAGAAGCACAAAGGAGAAGAGGGAAAGGGATGGGAACAGAAAGGAAAAGAGAGAAAGGGATGGAAACACAAAGGAGAAGAGGGGAAAGGATGGAAACACAAAGGAGAAGAGAGAAAGGGATGGGAACACAAAGGAGAAGAGAGAAAGGGATGGGAACAGAAAGGAAAAGAGAGAAAGGGATGGAAACACAAAGGAGAAGAGGGGAAAGGATGGAAACACAAAGGAGAAGAGAGAAAGGGATGGAAACACAAAGGAGAAGCAAGGCTGGCACCCACAAACATAACATCAGACTTTGAAGTTGTGTCTTGTCTCTCTTCCCCCCCCCCCAGCCGTCCTCCTCGGCCGTGCCCTGCCAGCGAACCAGCTCCTCCGCCATCTATATGAACCTCGCCTCCCACATCCAGCCCGGGACGGTGAACAGGGTGGCATCCCCCCTGCCCAGCCCCAGCGCCATGAATGACGCCGCCAACTCCCAGGCTGCCGCCAAGCTCGCCCTGCGCAAGCAGCTGGAAAAGACTCTGTTGGAGATCCCGCCCCCCAAGCCCCCCGCCCCCTTGCTCCACTTCCTGCCCAGCGCGGCCAACAGCGAGTTCATCTACATGGTGGGACTGGAAGAAGTGGTCCAGAGCGTCATTGACAGCCAAGGTAAAGGGGGCAGGACGAGGGAGGGAGGGAGGGAGGGAGCGAAGCACACATTTCACAAGCACCAAACCTGAACTGGGAAAAGTCCCAGATTGTAGTTTCTGGTCCCCGGCCGTCCGTTGTGGGTCACTGCAGGAGGAAATCCTCCCTAAATTAACTCACGGCTAGCATTTCACGAGAGCCACTTTGATCCAGCGCTGAAGGCACCAAGGTAGAAACCCGGAGACAAGTGAGTTCTGGTCCTGCCTTAACCCTGAAAGTGAGCTGGGTGATTTTGGACCAGTCACCAGGAGACGGGGAGATCTAGTCCTGCCTTAAGCATGAAAGCTGACTAGTTGACCTGGGGCCAATCACCAGGAGACGGGGAGTTCTAGTCCCACCTTAGGCATATAAAAACAGCTGGGTGACTTTGGGCCAGTCCTTCCCTCTCAGCCCCAGCCCACCTCGCAGGATTGTTTTTGTAGGGGAAATAGGAGGAGAAAGGAGTAGTGAGCAGGTTAGGGTTATTAATAAAAAATAATAATAATAAAGGCAGGCTTGATTGCTTTCCTTGGATAATCGGGCCTCCTCCTCCTCCTCCTTCCCCCCACCCTCCCCCAAACACCCCCCCCCAGGCAAAAGCTGCGCCTCCCTCCTCCGAGTGGAGCCCTTCGTCTGCGCCCAGTGCCGCACGGACTTCACCCCGCACTGGAAGCAGGAGAAGAACGGGAAGATCCTGTGCGAGCAGTGCATGACCTCCAACCAGAAGAAGGCCCTCAAGGCCGAGCACACCAACCGGCTGAAGAACGCCTTCGTCAAAGCCTTGCAGCAGGAGCAGGCAGGTCGAGGGGCCAGGGGCGTGTGTGTGTGTGTGTGTGTGTGTGTGTGTGTGTGTGTGTGTTGGTGGTGGCGTGAGCAGGCTGAGCGTGCAAAAACACCACCCACCCCCGTCGCACGAGGCCTGGGGTTTTTTGCTGAGTGGCAGGAGAGGGAGGGGAGGGGATGCCCTGCTTCGCCCGCACGGACTGGGTAGCGACGGTCTCCCTCCCGCCTTCCCCAGGAGATCGAGCAGCGGCTGCAGCAGCAGGCCACCCTCTCGCCCACCACGGCTCCGGCCAGCGTGGCCAGCGTCAGCAAGCAGGAGAGCATCATGAGGCATCACACACTCCGTCAGGTGAGACCCCCCCCCTGGGCCTGGCCCTTTTGCCCACCTGGAGGAGGGCCCAGCTTGTCTCTGCCACCCAGTTCCCTGGCTGGCCCAGATGCCCCTTCAGTCAAAATGGCATTTGGGTTTAAGGGCTGCCCCACAACTCCCCTTGGGCTCCCTCCCTCCCTCCCTCCCTCCCTCCTTTCCTTCTTTTTTTGCTTCTCCCTTCCTTCCTTCCTTCCTTCCTTCCTTCCTTCCTTCCTTCCTTCCTTCCTTCCTTCCTTCCTTCCTCATCCCGAATCTAGGGACTCTGGGCAGCTTAACAATTCCAAAACTATCTTAACACAACACAAAGCATTTTAAACCCAATGAAGGCATCCAACATAACTACACTTTTTCCTCCCTCCAGGCCCCCCAGCCTCAAGGCTCCCTACAACGCAGTTTGCCCACCTCCGCTCGCTCCATGCTGTCCAACTTCGCACAGGCGCCGCAGCTCCCCGTCGCCAGCGGTCTCCTTGGGATGCCAGGTAACCGTGCCGAATTGGGGCTGGAAGGAGGTGGGTGGAGTTCAGCCACAGAGCCAAGCCCCCCCCTTCTGCTGGGACAGTAGTTTTCCGGTGAGGAATTTTCCAGAACATCCCAAAAACGGATTTTATCTTTTTTTTTTCCCCCTCCATCTCTCCAGGGGTCAACATCGCCTACCTGAACGCCGGGATGGGCGGCCACAAAGGGTCCAGCTTGGCAGACCGGCAGCGGGAATATCTCCTCGATATGATCCCTCCGCGCTCGATATCGCAATCCATCAGCGGGCAAAAATAACACCAGCCCTGCCCCCCCTCCTCCTCCTCCTCGTGACTCCCCATCTGCGCCCGCCCCCCCTCGTCCGTCGCATGCAGTGCCTGTACTGGTGCCTACCACGGAAGGACAGACCCCAGAAAACATTGGGGGGAAAAAAGAAGAGAAAGGAAAGCAAAAACGAAGACGAGAAAACGTTCGCGCAACCCCGCCCTCTTCGCAACCGTCGCGCTCGCAGCCCCGTACCTGAGCCGCCCACTCTGGATTTTGTTTTTGGGGCGGTGGGAGCCCTCAAGCCCTTTCCTGCTCCCCCCTCCCCCTCAAAAGTCAGAACGCATCAGCCGGGACCCCCTGGCACCGTCCCCGTGTGTTTCCCGTTTGTTTTTAACGTGCTTTTTTCTTTTCTCCTTTTGTTCGGGTTTTCCGTCTGTAATGGCAACCTGTAGAATTTTTAACGGCTGCTTTTTTTTCTCTCTTTTTTTTTTAAAACGCCTTCCTTTGGCTTTTTCGCTTCCGCGGGAGGGAGAAAAGGAGACCACCTGGAGAGGAGGGGATTCCTGGAGCCTCAGAACGGTTTTTTTTCCCATCCTGGCCGCCAAAAAGAGGAGGGATCGGCGAGGGGGGAGGATGACAAAGGTTGCCCCGCTTCGGAGCTGAAGCCAACCCTGTTTTTTTTGGGGGGGGGGAGGTTCAAACCATCCACGAGAAGGCTGCTTTTGGAGACGGGAAGACCACCAAGAGTTTTTTTGTTTGAATCGTCCACCCTAGGAAAATGAAACTTCTGCATGCCGGAGATTTGTTCGACCCTCGCCTCGATGCGTTGGCCAACATCAGTCTGGGCCAAAGAAAAGATGCAGGGACCCTGGACCCTTGCCACCCCTCCAGCCGATAGATGCCGGAGGCAGGGAGCCCCTCCCCCCTCGCCAATTCCTTTGCCCGTCGTATTCGCCTGTCCAGGAAGTCACTATTTCCCTCCTTGCTCCAAATGACCGACCCCGGGATTCTTGGGACCACCTCGGCCATCGGTCCCTCTGAAAAGACCGGCACCCCCCCCCCAGGAGGGTCCCTCTGCTCTCTTTTTCGCCCGTCCGACCTCTTCAGCACTTACAAATCTACGGGAGGCGGCAGGAAGCTTGTCTGGATGCGCAGAAGAGACCGAGACCTGGATTTTGCCTGCCCCCCCCCCCCGGCGCTCGGGATGAGTTGGAAAACCAGGCACCTCCCGGCATCTACACCCAGACAGCCCGACGTGCCGCTTACGGGCCGCCCCTTCCCCAAATTTGTGCAATTCTCTACCAAGCCAGCTTGGCCACGCGGCACTCGGCGATGGTTTTATTTTGTTTTATTTTTCCCTTGCTCTTTCGAACGTGGCATTTTAAGTCCCCCCCCCCGTTTCCCCCGACTCGCCCTAGGCGCCCCCCCCCCTTAGTCCTCTTTCCCTGGACTTTCTCTGTTGTGGCTCAAACTGGGGGTCACCAAGGACCCCCCCTTAATTTAGTGGGTCACGTAGGTTAAGATTTTGAGTTTCAGTTTGGGTTGGATATTGTGCTGATATTCTTTCCTTCCTTCCATCCTCTGTCTCTTCCTTCCTTCCTTCCTTCCTTCCTTCCTTCCTTCCTTCCTTTCTGTCTACTTCTATTCCTTCCTTCCCTTTCCTTCCTCCCTTCCTTCCTTCCTTCCTTCCTTCCTCTATTTCTTCCCTCTTTTCTCTATTCCTTCCTCTCTTTTAATCTTTTTTTTTCTTTTTGGTGATGTAGGAAACGTGCAATAATTTTTGCTCAAGTATAAAAAAAAATAATAATCAGAAAAGCGCCTGTTTGAATTTGCGCCAAGAAATTAGCCAAAATAGATGGGAATGTTGCTATACGGAAGACTTGATTTTTTTTCTGGCAGGGTCTGAAATTGACCTGCCCACCCATCTCTCTTCCTTTTGAGCACTCTTCGTAAATTTGATTTTTTTTTTCCCCCAGTAAACCTAAGCTCTTTCCTATTCCCTCCCCTCCTCCTTATTTTTCTCTATCTTTTATCTCTTTATTTTTGGGGATGTAATATAGAAAAAATACCTTTTTTAATTCAAAAGAAAAAGGTACAGAGATTAATATGCTGGCTTCCATTTCTTTTTTGGGGGGGGGGGTGTTACTGTTTAGTTGTAGCTGCTTTGTGAATTATGCTGAGCTTCTGTTTTATTTCCTTGTTTATATTTTATTTTATTTTGTATGTTAACGGTTCCGTCGGGAAAACGGGGAGGGGCAAAAGCCATCCCGCCCCCTTAATTCTCCTCCCCCTGTCCTTCGCGCCCCTCCCTCCACGAAAAAATTCCTCTTTGCTTAACAGTAACCTTGCTGCCGAAAAAGCAAAAAAAAAAACCCGTTATAACAAGGACTCCTTTGTTGTATATAAGCTATTTCTTGACACATTAAAGAAAAGGGAAAAAAAAACCAGAGAAAAGAAATGGAAAAAAAGGAAGAAAGAAAGAAAGAAAGAAAGAAAGAAAGAAAGAAAGAAAGAAAGAAAGAAAGGGGGGAAGAGGGGAGGGAGAAGACAAACAAAACAAAAAAACAAGTTGTACATTGTATAGAGAAAAATCAAAACCACAAAAAAGAGACAGCTTAGCCATGGATATTGTGACGTTTGTCGATGTCCTTTTGTAGTGTGAACTCCTTTGTGTATGACATTAAAATGTGCAAAAAAGTGGTTTCCTGGGGAAGGGGGGGGCTGGAGGGGGCTGGGCAGATCCCGTCCACCCATGCACCCCCTTTTCAGCTCCCCCCCCCAAAAAAGCTGAAATGGATTTGGTGGCTCTTAATTCCCACAATGGTGCCTTTTCATCTTGTCGTACCCCAGGACACACACACACACACACACACACCCCAACAAGGCCAGGCTGGGTTCTGCTCCTCTTAAGTCCACCCTAGATTTTATTTTTCAGTTGGGGGGTTCCTTGGGGGTGGAGGCGAGCACAACCTACAAGTATTACCACGGATCTGAACGATTCAACTGTAAATTTGCACTGATTTTAAAAGATGCTTTGGGACAAAGCTGCTGGTTTTTGACGTTGGCCAAGGAGATCTTTGAAGCCTCCCTTTTGATCTTCTCACCCCCCCCCCACCCCAGAGATGGAGGTTTGGTCTTTTGGGTGTTCCCCTCCTAGGCTCTCTCTCTCTCCCATCTTCTGATGTTACCTCCATCTCCATTTTGGATAACTCAACTCATCTTCTGCCTTGTCAACTTTTCATCATCTTCCTCGGTAGATCTTTAGAGACGATCACAGTTATGGCTTCACCCACCATCTTTCTTCCTTGGTAGAACTTTTCAGAAGACCACCCGCGCAGCGACTTTAGCTCTCAGCCTCTTCTTTCGTCGCAGTCGTGGCATTTCAACAGCCTTAGTTCCATCTCTTGATGGACCAAGCATTCCAGCATTCAAGACGGGTCCTTCCTGCCTTCTTCTCCCCCCACAATTTCTTTGCCTCTCATCCACTGCTCCATTTTATTAGGTTTGGTTGAAGCTTTGGAGACGTCCAACAGACCGGCTATCAAACATGGAAGAACTTGACTGTGTGAGACTTCTGGAAGTTGGAATCCATCCATCTTAAAGTGGTTGAGGAGTTCTGGGAGTTGAGGTCCACCTGACATCAAGTGGTTGAGGAATTCTGGGAGTTGAAATCCATCCATCTTAAAATGGTTGAGGAATTCTGGGAGTTGAGGTCCACCCAACATCAAGTGGTTGAGGAATTCTGGGATCCATCCATCTTAAAGGCACGTTTGAATATTTTGAGAAACACTCAACCTTGAAGATCCTAAAGAAGCCAATAGATACGTCTGACCATTCTTGAACTTTTGCCAAACGGCTGGCAACCCCTATC